AGTGAGCGGGGTGGTGTCGTCATTAAGCACCCTAAAGAAACTGGAAAGCTAAGCCAACCATTTGTATCGTTTGCTCAGATGTCAAGGTGAGAAAGTGCTGGAGTACAGAAGAGACTCTGTAATTCTATAGAAGCCCTTCTGAACACGACCAGGGAATCCTACTCAGAAATCCCCAACCAAGAAAATTAGCAGAGTAGACCCTAAAGGGTTACTGAGAGAAGAAGCTCCCTGCCTGAAACATCTCTGCCTGGGTGGGACCCAGGGGCCAGATTGGGGTGTCTTCTTTGTTCTCTCCTTCCTGCTGGAGTTAGATTTATACTCCAGGTGAAGAGCTGGGTAGTGCTTGGGGTATACTCATTGCAAGCTAAGTCCAATCTAAGAAGTCACTTTCTGTTCTAGCGGTACCCAAACAGGCAAACAACAGCTGGATCTGAACGTCTTGTGCATGCTATCACAAAACGCATCACAGAGATTTGGGGCTGGCTTCATTGGAAGAGGCAGGTAGGCTTTTGACTGTCAGGCCACGGGAACTGAAAAGGATCCTTCTGGGACTCTGCTAGGTAATTAGCATTTTAGTGTGCACATGTGATGATATTATCCATAATGAATGTATTTCAGGGCAAATGGCAGTTGCCCTCACATCCAACAGCTCACATCTTTGAAACCAGTTGTAATTGATCAATTGGTGTTCCATAAGTTTCTATTTATTTAGGCAGCACCCATTTATTTCTGTGGTATCATCTGCTGAACGATTTATTGGGTAGATGTGTTGGGTGTCGGCAGACTAGTGTTCTAGTATCAAAATGGGTTTCCCATTTGGCGATCTCTCTTTTTCAAATAGATCTGTACTGCTGTTGCTGTGCATTCATAAGCCTCTGTTGGGTGCTTCCAGAATGTGGAGATTGGTGAAGAGCAGTGTGACCCAGCCTCAGGGTGGATGCCAAATGGACCATATTGGACCAAGTTTGAATGACTCTTCCTCTGAAACTTTGTCTCCACGCATCCATTGTTTCTTAGATATGCACAAGCGTTTCCCAGGGGGCCTTGCAGGTCTGAAGGAAGCCAAAGCCTTTGCTATGATGTTATCAAATCCAGGAAGTAGCCAAGGATTACTCTTTGTTCTTGTGAGATGAATCCTACTCAGGCAGCTTTAGGACTCAGTAGCAACTCTAATTGGAACAAAGTAGAGAAGTAGAGAAGGTTGACATGGCTCTTCCGTGTGTGTCACTTCCTGACCTGAGGAGCATCTGTTGAATGCAGTTCTATTCAGTTGTTCCTAATTCTTCCAGTCCTTGGAATGCACAGATGCTGGGTTGTGGCTTTGCTTTCAGCTAGTTCATCATCCAGGGGGCAGACTTGGGGCAAATTTCATGGATTCTACCTCCTGCAAGGTAATGAGAGCTACCCCGTGGCCATGAATAAAGTATTATGGAAGGATAAAGTAGGAAGCTCTTATTTCTGCTTGTTAGATTCAGAAGTGATCCACTAAGGAAGGAACATGCATTTTCTATCCTGCTTAGTCCCTCTGGGTTTTCCCCCATCATGCCTTGGAAGGGGTCTGGCGTAGCCCAGCCACAACGTCCCGCCTTCCATTTCTCCAGTGTTGCCAGTTACTTCTCACTGCCGAGCACCTTTGCACATGTTCCCCGCCTAGCCGAATCCTGCTTCTCCTTCAGCTTCAGCTGCCCTGTCCTCAATGCAGAAATACCTTCCTTCTTTAACTCCTCAACCCTAACCCTACTAACCCTAAGTTTCACAGGACATTAAGTGAAAACTGTCTTGAACATGGGCAGCTGTCTCACCCTTTCACTATAGGAGGAGGGGTCTTTGAAGGCATTTCACTTTTGAGAAGAAAGCCTGTGTGGGGCGTGGCAGGGCTCAGGCATCACAGCCACACTGAAGTCCATTACTCATAGTTTCACCCCATGCAAGCTGCTTAATCTTGCTTAGCCTCAGTGTTCTCTTCTGAAAAATGGTCATCACTGGCAGGAGAAAATGAAGGTGGAGCCATATAGTTTCTCTACATATGTAATATTATAATATCGGTTAAGTCCATAAGAATAGTTATTGACTATTATACACTGATCACAGTGCTAGTATTGTATAAAGATCATTGCATTTAATACTTACAGCAACTGACTGGGTGGGCGTGAGTCTGATCTTCATTTTATTGATGAAGAAATTGAGGCATAGAGAGAAAAAGTCACACAACTAGTAGGTGGTGGAGCCAGGGTTTGGAGCGGACCCTCCTTCCTCCAGAGCCTGCCTCTTGACCACGGAGCAGGAGTTCTACATAGCATGCCCCTGACCTCATTGCAGCTGTTCATGTTCTTCTCGGTATTAGCAAAATTGAAGAAAAGGAAATAAAGTAAACATAATTTTTGGATTTTTTTAAATGGTGGTTGCTTTTCAATAGTACCAGAACTGAGTCCTGTCTTCCTCGTATTGTCTCTGTTAAAATCGTGTGTTTTGCATGTCAGACTTTACAACCTGAATCAGGCTGCATCCCCAGTCCGCCTTTGCAGGTCGTCACTGTCTCTTACTGGAGGCAGGCCAGATCACTGCTCAGAGGTAATTTTGTGAAGAAGCTGGTTTCTTAAGGCTGTTTTCTTTTCTTCTGTGTTCGTTCGTGGTATATGTGAGAGTAGGGGAGTGGGGAGGAGGGAAGGAGATAAAGAGAAAAAAAATTCCCGAGAACATGTTATGTGCTCATGAGCACTTGCCTGTGATTGTAAATCAGAAACTGTAAAATTCTGAAGTTCTTTGAAGTTTGCCCAAAACCTGCTCTGCAGACACCTGTTCTGCTGGGGGCTGGAGTTGGATAGCCTGCCTCTGCTGCGATGGCTCAAGCTGTCACCGCACAAGAATGTTCCAGCTTGCCTTGGCCTGGCTGTCATCGCTGGCTCTGTCCCACTCAGGCGGTTCACCGAGTTCTGCTGGGCACCAGGCTTCCAATTAGAGAGAAATCCCACTGTGTGGCCAGCCCCACCAGCGCCGCTCTGAGCGGCCCCTTTGCCAAGGCCTGAGCTGACCTCTGATCTGTCACAGATGGGCCAGCCCCACACACTTTGTGCACATTTGGAGGAGGGGGTTGGGGACGAAGAGGGACGCCTGTGGGGAGTGAGAGTGGTCATCGGGCAGAAGTGCAATTCCTCAGAGCCCCAAGACGCTGGGCAGAGTTGACAGGACCCAAATGCTAAAGTTGTGGAGGGAAAGGGGAGTTTGGGAAGACCCTGTCCTGAGCCCTAAACTCAGCACGGGGCATTTTCTTACCAACTTCTGAATATTCATCTCAGGCTGGACTCTGCACCCGAGGAGAGCCAGGCGCACTCCAAAACTGTCACGCTGCCGATGGTGCATGGCACAGCCAGCTTCCTCCCTGTCCCTCCGCAGGGCCTGTGCAGTCTCACCAGCCTGGGGCACAGCATTCTCAGCAGCCTGCACAATGGACTGTATTAATCACACAGAACAGGAGGGAAAAAGAAAGCTAAATTTCTATTAGCATAAGAAATAGAATCTTAGAGCATTCCATCTCCAACTCTCTAGCAGAATAGAGAGAGATAATCTAAGCTCCGAACAGCTTCTTTCTAGATATAAGACTTGCTGAATGTGGTTCATTATTTGGGGGGTGGTGAATGTATCTCTTCTTTATTTTCCCTATCAGCAATTTCTTTTTATTTTTAATCCCTTTTCACACTTTTTATCCCTTGTTTTCGCTGCCTGTCTCTTTCTGTCTCTGTCTCTCCCTTGCATGCTCTCTTTTTCCAGGTACAACACCTGTGCCTCCACAGTCGGAAGTCATAATAAAGACACCAGGCTTGGAACTGACATTTCCATCCTCTGGCATTGCTTGACTAGAGTGATCGAAAAGTCTAAATCATGAATTGCCTGAAAGTGGCAAAAGGGTCTTCTCAGCTGTTCTTGAAACGATTTTGCACCTCTTGTAAAACTAAGAGTGAATTCAATCCATGAAAGCAGAAATGAAAGATGTCTTCACCAGTCTCTCTTTGGGATTTTTTCCTTCTCTCCGTATTTATAGTTGCTTTGGGAATTCCAGGACTGTCTCACCCCACCAGGCCTTTTTTCTTGCACCATCTCTCTCTTCTCCCCCACCCCTGACTGTTTAAAACAAAATCTCTTAACCAGTGATACTCATTTGGAGAAGGAAATGTTTCTTTAGGGTGTTAGGTTGACCCAAGAGAACATGGACAATTTTTGGTCACTTAAGCAAGTTGCCACAGTTAAGGGATGGACTGGTTTCCCAGTTTCTCTATTTGCATGATTTTGTTGGACTGGTGAAAGAAATGACCTCGTGTCTCCTCTTACATTGTCTGGAGAGTTCAGAGATGGAAAATCTTGAGACAACAAGAAAAGCATGATCGTAGAATCAGCATCACTGATTACATTAGATCTGGTGAATGGAGACCTGGATCCCAGGGAGTCAGCCTATGTCATTAGGTGGAAGACGCCCTTGAGATGCAGGCTGAGGGCCCTGATGGTTGCACTCCCAGGCTAATGCACATAGAGATCTGGGTCATGAGGAGTGGCACTCACTGCGACATCCGCTTTGTGGCACTACACATTCTCAATTCCTCTGTCCCTGACCATGCCAGGCTCACTTGTCAGTTCCTCTTCTTTCCTCTCCTCTAATAAGCCCTTTGTTACATTTATTTCTTTACATTTCTCCTTGGAGATCCACTATAGTGGCTCCTATCCTGTCACATGCATCAGGATCACCAAGGAACGCCTGGGGAAAAAAATCCGGATGCTTGAGCCTTACCCAGGAGGTTCTACCTCAGCAGGTTCTGGAGTGAGGCCTGGGATTCAGGCATCACTGAAACACCACCTTTGATCCTCCCCCGGTTTGTATCTGAGTGTCCTTCCTGCCCCAGCCCACAGCCCCATGGCTGGTGTGTGGAAGGGGAATGAGTGAGAAGTGGAGAAGCAGGCACAATCCCTGTGAGTTCTGCAGACAGTGTTGCTTCTGCCTCTCCTTGCAGATATTCCTATCATTCCGGATCTGGAGGAAGTACAGGAAGAAGACTTTGTTTTGCAAGTGGCAGCCCCTCCCAGGTAGGTTAAATCAGATATGATTGGGGAAGCAAAGAACATGTAATTAATACACTCCAGATATCATCTACAGTGGACCTTTGACGCCCCCAATGTCAGTCTGGATCTTTCTGGTATTGGACTCCATCCAGGGTTCCCATTTTGTTAAGACATTTTATTCCCATTCTGGTCATCCCCAGCTGTGTACAAGGCTCTGGGGACAGTGGCCCAGCAGCACTCCTGGAATGGGTCCTGCCTGGGGTTCCCTCCTCTCGCTCTCTCTTTCCTTCAGCATCCAGATAAAGCGGGTGATGACCTACCGTGACCTGGACAATGACCTCATGAAGTACTCAGCCATTCAGACGTTGGTGAGTGGAACAACTTCTGCATAGAGAGGCGGGCCCCAAGCAACGGGCTCCAATCCGTAGAGATTTCTCAGTTCCTCCCAAGCTGTACAGCACCTCCACCAGTCCCTGAGGCTGGCTGCCTGGTGCCCATACCTCTGCTGCAGGTTTTATCCTCGTTCACCTCACAGCAACCCTGGACCCAACATATTCCAGTGTTTCTCAGTGCCAGGCTCCCACCTGGCTGCCCCCTTGGCACCTGATGGCACCCCACTTCCCTCTGTCCCTGTGGACATGCTGCTGTCACGCTCTGCCCTCCTGGTATGGTCCTTTGCCCCAAATCACGCCCAGCATGTAGGAAGCATAGCCCTCCCTCATTTCTCAGTGGGCATGTGGTTTATTCATGATTTTACTCTCTTGTGAAGGCGTTCCTGCAGGTCTCAGTTTGGGAAGTTCTGATACACAAAAACTGATCCTGATTCTGTGAGAAAGAGTTGCCTGAAAGCCCTCAAGGTCCTCAGGCTGACCTTTTTTGTTTGCATTCGCAGGATGGAGAGATCGACCTGAAACTCCTCACCAAAGTGCTGGCGCCAGAGCATGAAGTCCGGGAGGTACAGTGGTGGCAGCAGTTCCCCGATCTCTCAGCTCTGGCATTCCCATAACCAGCCGACTCCCGGGCTGGCCTGTGCCTCCCTGAGGACTGGATGGGAGGGAGGAGTCAGCTAAAGTTGAGGGAAAAGGCCTTTCTTTGTCTTACCCAGCGAAACCCTTCTTGGCAGGATGACGTCGGCTGGGACTGGGACCATCTGTTCACTGAGGTGTCCTCAGAGGTCCTCACTGAGTGGGACCCACTGCAGACGGAGAAGGAGGACCCTGTGGGGCAGGCCAGGCACACCTGAGCCCGTCACCCATGCTCTAGACATGAAGAAATGCAGTGAGCTGAAAGCTAAAGAAGCTTGCAAGCAGCTCGAATTTTTACCTGGAATATTTTGTAATAAAAATATTTATATTCAGTCAACCACATTGGATAATTCCATTGCAATACATTGCTTTATTCTGTGCCATCTCCTCCATTTCTTTCCAGTCCCTTCTTGGAAAAATGTATCACAAGTGAAGGAGAACTTTTTTGTTGTTGTTGTTGAGACAGAGTCTCGCTTTGTTGCCCGGACTGGAGTGCAGTGGCCAGATCTCAGCTCACTGCAAGCTCCGCCTCCCGGGTTCACGCCATTCTCCTGCCTCAGCCTCCCGAGTAGCTGGGACTACAGGCGCCCGCCACCTTGCCCGGCTAGGTTTTTGTACTTTTTAGTAGAGATGGGGTTTCACCATGTTAGCCAGGATGGTCTCGATTTCCTGACCTCGTGATCTGCCCGTCTCGGCCTCCCAAAGTGCTGGGATTACAGGCTTGAGCCACCGCGCCCGGCTTAGGAGAACTTTTAAACCAGCTGATAGGAACTCGAAACTCGCGGCCTTGTTGTGGAGCATGTGGAAGAGTTTGATTCAGGAGGAGGAGTGGGTACTCCTGCTGAAAGGTATTCACTTCTCAGGAGGTTGCAGACAGTTGCCCGCTGGGGTTCTGGGGCGGGGCCTCCCTTCCCATGGGTGCTCTGGACCCTTTGTTTGTGACCTTAGTGATGCAGCACTGCCACCTGCATCATAGGCTTCCAGGCAGCTGCAGCAGCAGGAGGAAGCCGCGGGACGGATAAGGAGACCCATTCTTCACTTGCATCAGGGTTTGGTGGCTGTTGTGAAACATTCTCCTTTCTCCCCTCTTCCTGCAACCCATGCCTTGAGCTCCAAAAGCTTCTACAGGTTCCCAGAGCCTCATTTCTGATTCTCATGGGAAGAGGCCAGCCAGCAGCCCTGAGAATTCCATGGAAGCCCTCTCTTACGGAGCCTGGGCCTCCCTTCTCCTTATCGTTTCAGGTACGTGGCAGCCATCTCCACTGCTGCAAGTATTATAACCGCCTGGTTCCAAGATGTGCTGAGATCAGGAGCAGAGTCCCACCCTTCTCCTACACAGAGATATCTTTTGTTTTTGTTTTTCTCTTTTCCTCCCTGAGACTTTGTCTGAGGACAGAGCCCCTTCACTGCCTGCTTCTCTTGGATGGGGCTTTGGGTTAGGCTGGCAGCAGCTAACTAAGGCCCACTCCCCAGCCATAGGGAGTGCTGAGTGCTTCTCTTATCCTGCCTGGAAAGCTCTTCATTAAAATTCAGAAAAACAAAGAGGCTCAACACATCAAAAACCCAGTGGGGGGTTATTTTTGTGTGACTACGGTGCCCTTCCCCGGCGAGCCACATGGCTCCGGAACAGGCAGAGTGAATGCTTGTCTGTTAATTATAAACTCGGGGATTTAGTGGCTTTAGGGTTCCATTTCCTCCTTTTCCAGAGTCACACTTTTAGCCCAGGCAGCCCCTCTTTGGAATAATTCCCATGGCCACTGAAAAGTTTCTATCCAGGCTAGTTTTGCTTGAGTCTACATCATTCTGAAACCCAAAGGAGAGAGGCTGTATTTCTACTCCCTTAATTACTGGAAATCCAACTGCCTCAGGACTCTGATAACCTTGGAGGTCTCCAGCCAACCTGAGCAAGTGGCTAGGGGCTGGCTTCCTTTCTCCCTTTCTTTCACAACAACAGCAGCAATGAGATCTGACATGGAGCTCTCACTGCATGCCAGGTGCTGGGCTCAGCACATAGGAATGATCAGGTTTCATCCTCACAGCCTCCCAGTGAAGCAGATGCTGTGGTTATCCCATTTTACAGATGAGGAAACTGAGGCTGAGCGAGGTTAAGAGATCGCCCAAGATTATCCAGCTGAGTGGCGGAGCTGGAATTCCAAGTTCTGATGCCACAGCGCCTTAACACCTGTGTTTCTGTTACCCCTGCTGTCTTCAGCTTGGGAAAGTAATCCAGTTTATAGCAGACAGAATTACAAGTTCATCGGGAGAAAGAAGTCCACAGCCACCCCCCTCCCCAGCCCCCACTCTTGTCTGTGGAGTGACCACAGAGCATTGGGCTTCTGTCAGTCCCCTCTTGTGAAGCCTGGCAGCATGGGTGAGCTCAAGAGTCCTGGCCCCAGGGCGGTGAGACCTGGGTAGGAGCAGCTCCGTGTTGAGCAAATTGAGCTCAGACAAATCAGGTCCAGGCCACATGTGACTGAGTCTCCCTTCACTTGTCCTGTGCCCTGGCCACGTCCTGTCTGGGCGTTTTCCTTTTCCCAGCATTTGCATATCATATCTTCAGGGTGCCAGAGAAATGGGATGTTCCAGAATCTACGACCCCCCCCCAGTTCTCATCTGACATGGAAAATACCTGCCTTAGGTGACATCCAGCGGTGTCATATACTTGACTTCAGAGAGCCTTTCAGGAAGGTGGCCCAAGAGGGCAATGACAGAATCAGCAAGCATCCACAGGTAGCAGCAATATGGTTTGGTGCAGGCATGGGGGAGCATGAAGTGAAGAAATGCTGCCATTTCTCTGCCATACATGGCTTGTTAACCAGTTCCTTACCAGTTTCTCCTAGACTGGCTCAAGTCACCTCTGAGCAGGCTTGGGTAGCCCAGCTGGTCTCTGACAAAATCTCCCCTGGTGTCTTTGGCATTGGATGGTCACTGCAGAAATGCCGTTCATAGGCTGGGCTGTGATGGGGAAGTTCATTACTTTGTAAAATAATTGATTGCCACTTCCTTCAGGCCAAGCTCCGGTCTAGGCACTCCAGATACAGAACTAGACAGGTGAAACTCCCTTCCCTTATAGAGCTTACATTCTGGAAGGGGAGATGGACAAATAAAGTAAAATAGATAGTGTCTCAGGTGGTAAGAGATACTATAGAGAAAAATGAAGCCGGCACAGGGAAGGGAGTGCTGGGGAGGGGGGTTGTGATTTTTTAGTAGGGCAATCAGGGGAGGCCTCCCTGAGAAGGGAGCATTTGGGCACACACCTGACCAGGTGAAGGAAGGAGTGAGACTGGTGCCCAGGGAACAGCGCTCTCAGTAGCAGGAACAGTATTTGCAAAAACCCGGAGGAAGGCATGTGCCTGACCTGTTGGAGGAGTGGCTGGAAGTCAAGGTGCCCGGGGTGGGGGTAACAAGGAAAGAGAAGATTCTCTGTCTCACTCTGCCCAAGGCCCGGCTTGTCACAGAAAAGGCCTCTGGGTGTCTGGGGTCCCCTCCCTCCTGTGATGACAGCATTCTCAGGCTTCCTTGGGCTTGACAGGCAGACTATGGAAAACCTTCCTCAAACTATTGCATGGCCTCTTCATGCCTTGGCCTGGAAGAGGCGGAACTATTGATGCTGCATTGCAGGAGAGGAGAGCAATGAGCTCTGTCTGTCAGAGACCAGAGGTTAGGAGTCTGCTGCCAGCTCCCCGCCAGGAAGGAGGGTGTGCCCACTGCACCAGGCAGTCAGAGAGGCACTATAAGGCCCCTGCACAGAGTGCTCCCTGGGAACTCGGCTCCCAGTGAAGAGCTCAAGCCAGAAATTCATCCAGGCAGGCCAGCAGCTGAAGCTTAGGTCATCTCTATCCCTGACTGGTGACTCATCCTTGCTAAACCCCAGGACAGTCCAGACGGGCTTTTATAACTACATGCTCCCATTGGAAACTGATGCCACCACCTGTTCAGTGTTGCTTGATCAAAATGTGTTACTTGAACAAATCAAGGTCTTCCTGCTTAGTAGGTAAGGATGCTTCTGGGCTCATTGCTACCGGAGACCTGCATGCAAGGTGCTGTTTACTGCAGAGAGATATGGAAGCGTAGACTCTGCCTTGCTTGACCAAGCAGCACCATGCTTTTCTCCTTGAGGTCAAAGAGTCAATGGGGAAAAGGGTAGGTAGAGGGAATAGGAGTAAGTAACAGTGGCAAAGAGCACAGGTTCTAGAATCAGGCAGAATGGGGCTCCAGTCCCAGCTCTGCCATGTAGCTGTGGG